CCTCACACATGTAATATTCAATTTAATAAAATAGCAATAGATAATTCATAATGTAACTTTAATCTTGAATATCTTTAGAAGACATATTATGATTTTTTAAAGGGAAAAAAAATGAGAAGAAAGGTTAAAAATATGTTAGGTCTGATTGAATCTGATTGGATCCTATTAAAAACTCCATGATCACTAAAATAACAATAAATTATGTATATATGTTTGTTGTTTTGGTATTAAACGTTATTAAAAGTTGTATTATGCCATTTTCACTAAAAAGATGAAGAAAAAAAGAGTTGAAAATATGTCGTACACAATAATTTCAAAAATTGTATGAATCGTAAAAAGCGAATCGAATCGTGAATCGATTGTGAATCGTGTGATTCACTAGAGATTCACTTCCAAAATAGATTCACCTATAGATTCGTACTGATTTTGCAAAAATTACGAATCGAATCGTGAATCGAATCGCGAATCGTAAGATTCTGATAACAGAGGCTGTGATTTATATACCTTAAGGAGCTGTTTGGGAGATCTCAAAAACCAGCCAATTGATAGTTAACAATTGGGTTGGAATTTAATTTAGTCTGTTGGTTGGAGAATAGTTGTGTGGTCCAGTTCTTCAAATGGTAATAGTGGATTGCCTGCAGGTTTCGCTTGTTCCATTTGTAACATTGACACACATTCTCTCAAGACCAAGGTTTTAAAAAGTAGCAGCAACCGTTACGTAACGCCGTTACGTAACGGTTTTGGTGGTTACCGCCACCCGTTACAGCCGCTTTTGTAGTATGATTGAGATTCACAGGTGTGTCGGCCGTAGCGACTGCCATAGTGGTCGTAACGGTGCCGTAACGGCCTGTTACGCACCGTTACGTAACGGTTTTGAACTGTTTCTTTCGAAAAAACAAAAAATAAGCTGAAAATGGGGGAAGATGGATAGAGAGAAGAAGGAAGATAAAGAGAGAAAATGGAGGAGCAAGAGATAGAGAGAGAGAGAGAGAGAAGAGGGAAGATAAAGAATTTGTTATTGATTTGTTGAAACTGTAAGACCTATGCTATTTTATTCAGTTGTTATCACTCAACCATTTTGTTTGTGTGTCTATAATAATAATAATAATAATAATAATAATAATAATAATAATAATAATAATAATAATAATAATAATAATAATAATAATAATAATAATAATAATAATAATAATAACTTATTTATTCTCTTACTTTTGTCATTGTTTATCTTATATATAATAGTTAGTGATTGATTTTTTGTATAATATGAAGTCATTAATTATTAAAATAAAATGTAAAAAACTCAGTTTATAGTGATTTAAAAATATGAAATATATTGGATCATACTTAAAAATTTACAAAAATTGATCAATATTTATTTTAAACCCAATAAATATGATCATGGAAAAAAAAATATGAGTATCGGTAAGTTTTTTTCAAATTGTGCGAAAAATAAAAAAATTCACGGTTCCGGTTATCGCAACCGTTACGCTGCGGCCTATATACCCCACAACCGCAACCGCAACCGCAACCGCTCCACTGCCACCGTTACGGCGACCGCAACCGCTTTTCAGAACCGTGCTCAAGACAGTATAATATTAGAAATTCAGATGGCGAGAGTTGTTTACAAAGTTTTGCCTACATGTCTAATATGAAAATCCACGAACTATAGGTGCTTAGGATGTGATGGATATGTGCAGGATTATCAAAGAGGTTTTAAGTGTTACTTGGGCTAGAATTGAAGAAAATTGCTGCAACCATGGTTTAAACCACCATGAAATTATGAAAATACAAATTCTTGGATCCTGTCATCTTTTTGAGGGCTTACGTTTCAGGTGTTACGTAGGCTTAGTTATGACAATTAAACGTAAAATGTGTATGTGTGTGTGTGTGCAAGTGCGAATGATTTGGAGAGCACCCTGCACTTCGGAAGAGAAAAGATTTGAAATTGGACTTTACAATTTGCAAGTTTCTATCCCTGTTTTCATGATGTATAAGTTCAAATAAACAGAATTAATCATACTTTGAAATTAATCTTCTGATCAGCTTACAAGTTACATTACATTATAAAAACATGTTGATTCCTCTAATTATGGTTACTTGAGTCAGGATTGCAATAGAGAAATGATTAGGCAATTTTCTTTCCTAATGAAATCATGTTTCTATGTTCTTATAAACAAACCAAACCAAACTAAGCCTTGGGTCCCAATTAGGTGGGATCGGTTATATATGAATCCTTTTTGCCATTCTACTTTGTCAGGGGCTGTATGCTCAATTAAATTTAACAAATTCATATAATTTGTTTAATGCTGCATCTCATGTTAATTTAGATGTTTCCCTCGCCCTAACATTTCTGTTTATGATAATCATAGTACTCTTCTTACCCGTTGCATCTACAGATTTTTGGTGTACGTGATCCAACCATCATCTTAAAAAAAAAATAATAATGATTCTTGGGAGGAGAAATTATGTGGCTCTAGTGGGCTTTGATTTTCAATATGTTGTCTATCAATGGATACATAATATTATTGTTGGTGTCCATGTATTTTTGTTAAATTTGAAGATTGCCTGAGGATTTTTGAGTATCAAGCTTTATTAGGTCTCTGGGCAAATTTTCAATTTCTATGGGTGTTGAGAACTAGGTCTGTAGTAGAAAATAGAAATTGTACAAAGCCTCAGTTTGAACCATTTTAGACTTTTTATGCGAAACACTTAATGACAATGAGGATGATAGTGAGAACTGCGCTGGATGTTGGCAAATGATATCCTCTTGCCTCCTTTGTAATGGGAACAGGTGGCAGAGGACACCACTTACAAATTACATGTGTTGGTGAACATAGGGGAGTGATATTGCTTACACTGTCCTTAATACTTGCAACTTTTTTAATGAGTGTGTATTTTTTTTTTCTCTGGCAGTATTATATATGTGAAAAGTATTCTCAAAACTTTTACAGTTAATATCAATGTCAAATCCAGTACACATTATATTGTGGCTGAGTATGGTGATTTGATGATATATTTTTATTTACCAAAATGATTGCTCTCGAATGTGTAATGATTTGATATTCATATTTACCAGAATTCATCACTCTTCCACCTTCTTTTCCTTCCTTTCCCCATGGGGAAGGTGCTAATATTAGTTTGCATCCAATTCAAAACTACCATATCCCTCAATTAAATGTTCCATACCTGTGTTATCTTAACAGTTTGGGATGTTTCAAAGATCATTTTATATGTGTTTTACATGTATCCATTTCCCTCTTTTTTTAACTTTGAGGTAATGACTATAGTTTTTGATGGCTCTAGTTTGGCTTATGAGGAGGGAAAGTTCTGTGAGACTTTCCACTTGGATGCTTCTGGTTGGAGGTGCTGCGAGTCTTGTGGGAAGGTAAGTGGAAGATTTTATTTTTCCTGGCTAGTTTGGTTGATTCACGTGCTTTCTTCTGTAGAGTTGACATGAGATTAGGTGAATTGTGTCTTCCGAGGACTTTTTTAAAAATTTTAATTCTTTTTTGTCATATGGTAATTTATTGCAGATCTTTTAATGTTATTTTTTTTTTCTCTGCAGCAAATTCATTGTGGATGCATCGTGTCATTCCATATGTTTGTACTGTTGGATGCTGGAGGAATTGAGTGCATAACGTGTGCAAGAAAAAGTTTCATTTTGGTGAGTTTTCTACATTTTTTTTAATGATTATTTATTATTATTTTTTTAATTTTTGCGACCACTGGGTTATCAGTAATGCCATATTAGTGAAACTTGCCAGGCAAATTCCATGTATTAATGCTGATTCTCTACTATGGGTTGAATTGTTTTGATATCCTTTTACTAGTTACTGCAACTAAAAGTGAGCTTATCATATGATTGATTCAAATTATGGATGGGCACGGGGTGGGACCAGGTCTAGTGTCTTTTCTCTCTTAAGGATTATCTAGCAGCCTGCTTCAACTGTCGCATAATAATATTATGCTCCTCTGCGTCTACAAAAAATCATGTTACAGTACAATATCTTATTGCATGTTTCAGACACCAAATCCTGCCTGGCCTCCACCTTCTCTCTTCCTTCCTGTAATGCCTGAAAGAATTAAAGACCTCTCTACCAAAACTTGGCGTCAGATGGCTGGATCAGGTCCAGTGCCATGGCGGCAAGCACCCAGTTTATTCAGTTCTTCGGCTGCCCAATCTGACTTGCAACCAAGGATGCCTTTTGAAGTTCACATACCAAGTGGCATTGATAGACTTGTTAGCAGTGAGCGACCATCTGCCTCTTCTTTGGAGAAGAAGAAAGTAGATGATTCATCTGCAAGATTAATGAATGGTACCCTGAAGCTTGGTACATCCGAAACACTTGAAAATGGGAATGCAGGTATTGATCTTTTCCTACCTATATATGATCCAATGAATGAAAGTTTATTACTTGCTATGCTCCTCCTACATCCAGGGGAAAGTTTTCTAATATTCACCGTGAGTCGTTGGTTATCTTGATGTGGGCATTTTGTTGCAGGAATCAACTGTGGTGAGCAAGCTAATCCATGTGTAAATGTTCCTCAGAAATTGACCTTCTCAAAAAATGACACTTCTGGTTCACACTATAGTTTGGCTGTATCTTCTGTGCCACCAAATGTTGCAAATGATCAAACAAAGGCTTCTGGCACTCATGCACCACGACCAACTCCTCCACCGCTAATTGGGAAGCAGTTCTGTGGGCATGATGGAGCCGACTCCTCTGGGGAAACTCAGATACGAAATAGAAGGCCTCGAGGTGATGCCCGATCACGAAATCAGTTACTTCCCCGGTACTGGCCCAGGATAACTGATCAAGAGCTCCAGCAAATCTCTGGAGAGTATCCTATTGTTCTACATGGTGCTGTGTTTAAGATTTTATGATATGTTTACCCAATGATATTGGTATTTAAGATTATAGTTGTAGAAGCAGGTTGTTCTGAATTCAGATTTCCTGTATGCAAAATCTTTGAAGTTTAATTTTTTGGTTTTCACAGAAGATGCTAAAGTTTATTTTTATTTTTATTTGGTGAAAAGGCTATTTTAATGTGCAATTAAGCAATCTAGTTTCTTGTTATCCTAAATTTTTCTAATTTGTAATTAAGCAGTTTAGCACCTTATTAACCTTAACCACATGTAAGTTCAAATTCTGTAATTACTCCTTTATTTGAGAAGATGTTAAGTGCCAGTGATGCAGGGAGGATAGGGCGCTTAGTGCTTCCAAAAAAATGCGCAGAGGTGAGTTTTCATGCTTAATTTCATGGGTAGTGTTTGATAACCTAATTTAGCACTACTAAATGTATTGAGTGAAAATCAATTAAGCCCGTTGGATAAATAAATAAATAAAAATTGTTTATTCAAATAAAACTGGATAAATAAATACGGATGGTAACATTTTCTAGCTTTTAAACATTCCTGATATAGTTGTTGTGTATTCTTACTGTGAAACAGGCTTACTTTCCGCCAATTTCTCAGCCAGATGGTTTGCCTCTCAAAGTCCAGGATTCAAAAGGGAAGGAATGGATGTTTCAATTCCGATTTTGGCCCAACAATAACAGCAGAATGTATGTTCTAGAGGGGGTCACTCCTTGTATACAGTCAATGCAGTTGCAAGCTGGCGACGTAGGTAACTTTCTGACATTGCTAAATGCTAGAAAAACAACCCTTTGGGAGATTCCAACCTTTGCTTTAGTTGAATGGTTCCCTTCCATGTAGCTCAGAGTGATGCTTTTAGGTTGAGATGAATGTTGTAACATATTACTATCATGGTCCTTTTGGTTGAGACCTCGCTTACTGTTGTTCCTTATTCATCCCTGCCTTTTCATCTTTGGAGTATTTTGTCTGCATGGTTTGGTATTGCTTGAATATCTTTCATAATTTATTGTTTATCTCTGTTCACTGATGAAAAGAATTGTTAATGCCTATCTTGATCATTTAGTGACGTAGCATAAAAGTTATGCTTGTGCATTTTGGTGGTTTTTCAATTGCTGTCTCTTCACTTCAACTTCCCTCTCCTAAGTGGCCCATGGAAGTGTTTGATTGAATTTATAGTGAGTTCTTTCTGTGCTGAAGTTTGATTTTATTTCTTCAGTAACATTTAGTCGGATAGAGCCAGAAGGGAAGTTGGTCATGGGATTCAGAAAGGCCTCAATTGCTCCACCATCTGATCAGGTTTGACTATAACAACAAGGCAGTACTAATTTTTTAAATATTTTATGGTTCTGTAAAGAATATTTACTGTCTGACCAAATATTAGTACGTAGGAGAGATTCTACTGTCCATGTAAATGCTCATGTTTTCCCATTTCTCAGTAACCCATTATCTCTACTTAACAGTTGTACATGGTTAGTGTTATGTAATGTACCTGTGGTTGCATCAATCAAGTCCGGTAATTCAACACCCATCCATTATTGATTGTTTCCTTAAAATTTCTGAAAAGGCTTGGAAGATGATATCATTGCTTTTCTTTCCATACGATATAACTATTGTTATTTTGAATATGATTCTAGAGGGCACACACTTTGCATTTGCAGCAATTGTAATTTGTTCTTTTACAAATTGATTAAATACTTTTAAATACTGATAGTCATACATGCTTTTAGTAGTATTAACTTAAGTAGTTAAAACTTTTAGTAGTAGTTGTAACCACTTAAGAAGCTAAAACTGAAGTGAATTGAAGAATGTCGGAGATCGAGGTGGAGGCAAAACTTGGTTTTCACTTAATGTGTATTGACAGGTGTGGAAATTAGGGTAGAAACTGTATGTTGATATTTTCTATATCCCATATAGTTGAATTAGAAGTGTTGTCTTAAATCTTTAATAACATTTGTAACTGCAGAAAATATTTTATGAAATATGAAATAACCATGGGCTTGGTGTAGAATTTGAATGGACTCTTTCTCGCTTGCAGCATTTAGTGGCATAAAATACAACTAGCTGAAATTTGATGTTTGTAGAGTCAATCATGTTCTCATCAGAAAATGACTGTCAAATATAGGCAATATCTATATCAGTATTGCTCAAATCTAGTCAGCCTGAAATTGATGTGCTCGAAATATGTGATGCGTATGTATATCTGAGATCAAACCAAACCAAATCAAACCAAACCAAACCAAGCCTTGAATCCCATTAAATGGGATCGGCTACATGAATCCTTCTTCATTTGACTCTATCTAAGGCCATATCGTTAGTCAAATTAAGGAGATTAATATTTCTATTTACTATACTAGTCCGGTGCAATCTAGGTCTGTCTCTTCCTTTAACACTTTCATATACCGTCACTGTATCATATCTCTTCACTACTACATCTGTTGGTCTCAATTGTATATGACCAAATCATCTCAATCTATTCTCTCTCAACTTAGTTTCTATCGGTACTACTTGGTCTCTGTTGTATATGACCAAACCATCTCAATCTATTCTCTCTCAACTTATCTTCTATCGGTACTTCTATCCATTCTTAAATATACTCATTCCTAACTCTATTTTTTCTAGTCTTGCTACACATCCACCTTAGCATCCTCATCTTAGCAACACTCATCTTATCTACATGTTATTTCTTGATTGCCCAATATTTCGTCCCATACAACATCGCTAGTCTAATAGCCGTTCTATAGACCTTCCTTTTTAGTCTAACGGGTACTCGTTTATCGCATAGTACCCCATATGCACTCCTACACTTAAGCCATCTCTCATTAATTCTATGGACTACATTCATTCTAATCTCCCCAGCCGTTGTGATAATCGATTGTAAATAACAAAAATGTTCGCTCTTAGGCAGTGCTTGGTCCTCAATTTTCACTTTTTCTCTGCTTCCATTGTTACTGGTATTAAAATTACACTTCATGTACTATATTTTAGTTCTGCTTATCTTAAATCCTTTAGATTCAAGCCTTCAACTTAGTATTAACTCCTTCTCTAGTCTTATCCACTAGCATGATATTATTTGCAAAAAATATAAACCATGGCATATTATCCTAAATATTTCTCGTCAACTCATCCATAAATAAAGCAAAAAGATAAGGAGTTAAAGTTGATTGTGTAACCTTACAATAATTGGAAATTCACTTGTCTCTACAGCTAGCGATCTAATAATGGTTATAACACCTTCATACATATCTTTAATCACATCAATGTAACATTTTCTTTTCTAACACCTACTAGATTATATCTTGAGGAATATGCTTTCTTAAGATTGATAAAAATCATATGAATCTCTTTTCTTTTCTCTATACTTTTTTATTACTCTCCTCAAAAGATAGATCACTTCTATTGTTGACCTACCAGCATAAACCCAAATTGATTCTCTGACACCTCTGTTATATCTTGTAGTCAATATTCTATCACTCTCTCCCACACTTTCATTATATGACACATTAGTTTGATTCCTCTATACAGTGTTTTAAAAAGCGCGCTTAGGCGCGCGCCTAAGCCCAAGGCGAGATGAAGCGCAGCCTTGCGCCTCAAGCATGGCGAGGCGAGGCGACATGGGCGAGGCGCAGCTTAGGCGACGAAGCGCGCGCTTTATTATAAAGCCTGAGGCGTGCGCTTCATGCGCTTCAAATGTTTTTCACTCCAGCAGCCCCCATTTGTTTACTGTGTGGATACCCACATGGGATAACATCTCATTTACATCATAAAATGATACAAACGTGGGTCAACAGAGCAAAAACACAGGTTCTCTTGCTTTTTTGACCTCCTTATTAGCCAATTTGTAGCTCTTAAGGTTTTCCTCAGTTCTATTATTCTGCCACTTTTTAAAGCATTATTTTTTCCTTTTTACTACCGTTTGAACCTCCTCTCTCCACCACCAAGTTTCTTTAGAGTTGGGTCACTTTCCTTTCGACTCTCCAAGAACTTCTCTTGAGATTCTCCTCATACAGTTGGCCATCGAGTTCCACATAGTGTTAGCATTATCTTCCAAGTCCTAAGTATCTTCTTTATCCATTCTATTCTAAAATATTTTTAGTTTATCCCCTTTTAGGTCCTACCATCTCGTCCTACAACGTCCACTATCCTTCTTAGCTTGGTGTAGCCTATTAAGGCATAAATCTAGTACCAAAATCCTACGTTGAGATATCATGCTCTCCAGGAATCACTTTACAATTGCTGCATTTTAGACGGTCCACTTTTTTTTTAATTTTTTAATTTTTATCAGCAACAAACAAAGATTTTATTAAGGCAAAAAGGCAAAAGAAATGAGGATAAGGCATCCTCTATAAAGAAAAACACATATAAAAAGACAAAATAGCCTAAAGAGACGAAATTCATAACAAAGAGGACACTACATATCACAAACTGACACTCAATCTGATGCAATAATAAAAAGAGGAATTCCTTTGAACAAAGGATTCATCGACACCCAAAAAGAAGTTAAATGTCGAACTGTTTCCCATAAAAAGTCAACATCTCGAGACGGTCCACTTGTTTTTACTAGAAAGTAATCTATTTGGCTCTTAATTGACCGGCTCTTAAAGGTTATCAAATGTTCCTCTCTCTTTTTATACATAGTATTGGCCACCACTAGGTCAAAAGTCAACGCAAAATTTAAAATACTTTTTCCAGCCTCAGTTCTATCACCAAAACCATACACACCATGCACCCTCTGATATCCTAGTTTATTTATTCCTTCATGGCTGTTGAAATCACCTCTTATAACTAGGTTCTCTCTTACAGGTATCTCCTCTAATACTTCATCAATTTGGTTTAAAAAATCTCTTTTAGTCTGATCATCTAATCCTACTTGGAGGGCATATGCACTAATAACGTTCATTATATTCTCTCTAATAATTAGTTTAACTAATGTAATCCTATCATCTTTCCTAATGACCGTAACTACATTCTCTACAAGATTCTTGGCAACTATTATTCCTATCCCATTTCTGTATCTATCCTTGCCATTATAATATAGTTTAAAGCCGGTATCTTTTATTTTCCTAGTTTTCTCACCTGTCCACTTAGTTTCTTGTACGTAAGATATACTAACTCTCCTCCTAGTCATATCTACTAATTCTATAATCTTACCAGTTAAAGTTCTTACATTCCATGTGGCTACCTTAAACCTATAATCTTGGACTACCTTCTTTATCCGCGCTTGTCTAGAAAAACGCGAAAACCTTTGCTATTTTTTGCTGCACCCAAGTGTTGATGCGGCGCCCCTTGCTCACTTTTCAAAACACTCGGAGGCAGGCACAACGAACAACCTAGCATTTAATTGATTCAAAGCATGATTCATTTTCATAAGGGATCCGAGTGGCTTTTTTACGTGTTGGCTGTCGGCTACCTACCACACAACCCTCCTCCTTTACCTGGGCTTGGGACCGGTAGAGTTGTTAAATAATCCCGGTGGAGTTATATTTGAGGTCACTTATTTAAAAAATAAAAATAAAGAAAAAGAAGAAGATATTTGTGATTGCCTCAAGTCATTACTGCATTTCAGCTGTTACATATTATTCCTGGAAATTAGCAACCAGACAATATGATTGCATATTTATGAAAATGTGGATTACTTGTACTTTAATATATTATTTGTTTTTATTTTGAGATTTAGAAGTACCTAATCTCAAACTCCTAAATTAGAGAATGTTGCAATCCAGTAAACATTAACGTTTAATTTGCTGCACATCTTTGGGTGTAGCATGACACACACTCGATAAGTTCTGGCATCTTTGTAGAATATGTAAGCCTTTGTATAACTATTCGTTTTGTTAATCTTACAGGGCTGTGAAACTGTCAATGCTAGTAATGGCGTTGCTATGAACGGAAATATTAATGCAAAAAAAAGCAAACCTGGTGAAGTTCTTTTAACTCATCAATTAAAAGGTCATTCGGTATCACCTGGGTTTTCGTCAATCAACCAGACTATTCCAGCAGATCAAGCAATTCCATGGCCAAAACATGATAAATCTGGGTGCTTAGCCAAGGGAGCTAAATCTTCTTTCCGTGGTAAGAGGAAGAATAGCACATTGGGTTCAAAGAGTAAACGCCTAAGAATTGAAAATGAGGACCTGATAGAGCTGAAGCTGACATGGAAACAAGCTCAGGGACTGCTCCGCCCACCTCCAAACCATCTCCCAAGTGTTATGGTGATTGAAGGCTTTGAGTTTGAAGAATATGAGGTACTATACTTTGTCTCATTTCACGTTTGACTTGAACTCGTGTCGAATTTTGTTCTCTACAATTGTTAATAACAATTTCCAGCTACTGGTGAGAATATAGCAACATCTGTAATTTTTTGAGTCAGTACTTGCCTCTCATAACAAAATTCAAGTATTCATCCAAAAAATATAAAAAAATATAAAAAAATCTGATTAAAGTTATCAAAAGGACCATGCCATATATGTTTTCTTATATCTAGCGATGAGATCTTGTGAGATTTGGAAGGTAGAGGTATGTGCTGTGGAAGATACTTGATTATGGGGCAAAAGCAGACCAAAAGGTTAGGGCACAATTGGGGTTGGATAAGAATAACAAGGGCTACATAACTCGCTGAGACTTTTGATGTTATCTTTTTTTTTTCTTCTCAAAATCAGAAACTCCTTTGATCCTATAATTCACATGATAGGCTAGTTTTTGTCAAATGATGATCAACTACCATAGTGCTTTATTTTCAAAAGCAACAGGTTCTCTGACTTGATTCACTCTAGCAGGATGCACCGATTATTGGGAGGCCTACGATTTTTGCAACAGATCATAAGGGGTAAATCACTTAAATGCTCAGACTTGTATTCAAATTCTTCCAGTTTGATTTTATTTTCTTACGCTAGTTGTGGAGTTTTTATCTGCGCGAGGAAGTGTTTGTTTGCACAGAATTGACCTCACCCCAAGATAATGTTTCCCCTTTTAATGAACAATCAAATTAATATTGTATTATTTGGGTTGTATAAACTATTTGAAAATTATTCTGGCATAAAATTATTTGCATAATGCTGATGCTGGATTCTATATTTTTCTTTCGTTTTCTGATTTTTGTATGAATTTTACGGAGTTAAAATATTTCACTTGCATTGAATGTTCAGCGATGGTATCCTGAGTTTCATTAAATGTTGCATCCTGCAAGTATCTGCAGGTTTCATTTCATCCATATTTGGTCTCCATTTTAGGAATGTGACATTAGTTCTTTCATTCTTTTGTCTTGAAACTGAATTTCATTTATATTTCTTAATACTATACCATATCTCAAGGTCTTGCTACGACTTTTAATGGACTTGTTATTGTGTCTAAATCTTTTTGGGCCAAGTAAATACTAATGCTGTTTTGAAACTGTGTCAGTGAAAAGATCCAATGGGCTCAATGTGAAGACTGTTTTAAGTGGCGCAAAGTTCCGCCTGATGCTTTTCTTCCCTCAAGATGGACCTGTTCTGAAAACTGGTGGGATCCAGAAAGGTAAAATTGGTATCCATTTCTGCTTCTGAATCCTAGACTTTTTGTTCCTATATACAAATTTTTGTTTTTGTTTTGAGCTATGTCGTTGATTGCATTCAAAACAAGCAATGAAGCCAATATATGTTCCTCATCTCATTGAGGGATGTAAATGTGGATACAGGGCAGGTGCTCTTGCTCCCAAATGGTTTTATAGCATCATGTGATGATTGTGCTTTAGGTTTCAAGGCTTTGTGCTGTGATTCCAAGGGTTGCCATACTGATCTGAATGGTTCGTATGACCGGCTGTAATGCTTGCATCACTTTATGAACTTGTACTTTCTTGAGTGCCCGACTTTCAATATGATAAAGAATCTCTTTTTTTTTTTTCCTTTTTTTTTTCTTTTTTTTTTTCTTTTTTTTGTTTTGTTTACATGTTCTCTCAATACTGATATGGGTAGATCAGAGAAAATCTGAAAGCGCCCACCTCACCTTCATAAATTTCAAACTAGCATCATCAGCATGTAAATTGGGAAGCTCTAGTACAATAGTTCACATTGGATTCTCTCTCTCTCTCTCTCTCTCTCTCTCGCTTTCTCCTACACAAATATGTGTTTTTGTGATTTTTCCTTATTTGTGTGTGGAAACACATGAACAGTGACCCTCGCTCCTCCAGAACCATGCTGGGAGTGGTACCTTTTGGTTTTGTTTGGATCTTGGACTTGTGGACAGAAGAGAACAAAAAAATAGCTTCTACTTCAATTCTCTTTTCCCTTTCCTTTTCTTTCCCTCCACAAATCCAAGCTCTTCAGATTTTTCCAGAACCATGCTGGAGTGGTACCTTTTGGTTTTGTTTGGATCTTGGACTTGAGTGAGGGAAAAGAGAACAAAAAAAAATAGCTTCTACTTCAATTCTCTTTTCCCTTTCCCTTTCTTTCCCTCCACAAATCCAAGCTCTTCAAATTTTTGCTCTATTTACCTTTTTTACTAGATTTTTATGCAAAAATCAAAGTGTCACAAAAATGCTTTTTTTATTATAAAAAATACTTATCAAATGGCTACCTTAGTTGCTTCTGTACATTAGCGAAAATTTGGAAGTACTGATCTTTCATTCGTAACCATGAACTTACATCATCAGCCATATCATTCTGGAACCTCTAGTACAGTTGTCTGCTTGGGACTCTCTCTCTTCTGGAAGTGGTGTTATATAACTATCTGAATACATAGAGAGTTGGAGCACTTTAGGAATTGAGTTAATTTTTTTTGTCCTACAGATCAGTGTGTTCAGTAGTTCAAGAATTGACTGCAGAACAGCTTGAAGATCTGGTAGCCACTAGTACTCAAGGTATGAATACGTGAACCATTTCTTGGTGGTGGTTTTTTTTTTGCCCCTTGTTTTTCCTTTTTTCTTCCTTCCAGATTTCATGTGATGTGTGATCCTTGAATAGCCTGAGGAAGGCTCATAAAAGGTCGCACATTTGGGTTGTATAATTTCAAGTTGATCACTATTTCTGTGTCTCTATGAATATCTGTAAATACCATGTTAATCAAATCATAATGCTTTCATTTCTTGGTTTTCGTCAAGCTCAACTAATCATGTGATTGCGATTGCGATTGCACAGCTGCTGCTAAAAAAATGAAGGTTGCTAAACAGGACCCGGATTCAGTCGAAGCTTTGGAGGGGCTTGATGCACTTGCCAACCTAGCCATCCAGGAAGAGGGTGAGGCCCTACCAACATCATCGCAAGCCACAACAAAGCACCCACGCCATAGACCTGGTTGTACATGCATTGTCTGCATTCAACCCCCAAGTGGAAAGGGCCCTAAGCACAAGCAAACATGCACATGTAATGTCTGCTTGACAGTGAAGCGCCGTTTCCAAACCCTATTGTTGCGGCGTGAGAAGAAACAATCTGAGAAAGAAGCTGAAACTGCACGTCAAAATCAACAACCGCATCCACATTTGCCTGAGAAATCGCCAGATGATGAAACCCTGCTATGTACTAATACAGGAAGTAGTAGTCCAAACCAGAAAATGGCAAACAGGGATGATCCTGAAGATGATCCAAGCAAGATGAGATCGACTCTTTCACCTTTCAAGGGCCAGATTGATCTGAATATCCAGCCGGAGAGGGATGAGGAGCTGTCACCGGGTTCAGATTCTGGCGGCGTGACTAGGTTGATCCAAGATGCGACCGAGAGTTATCTGAGGCAGCAGAGATTGTCGAACTCTAACAGAAATTCAGCTGGAAATCAGGCTCAGATGAACTTTGGAAACGGTAGTATTGCTACTGTTAGCAGTCATGGTGAAGCTGAAGCAGAATGTTCCGTACCTTTGTCTACAAATGCATCAGCATCAACCTCAGGAACAGAGAGATAAACGGCAGGATTTCTCTGTTGAAGTCGTGGATAATTTTTGTTGTACATTTATCCGCGTTTGCAGACTTGTACATAAAGAAGAGAGGTAGAAACTGGACCATAGTGTGTAGAAGCCGATGATTCTGCCGATTTATATGTATTGTTATCCTCTCTCTACAGTAATAGAAGTGGACACCAGTGTATGGGAATGGCACTGGCAGTGACTGGGGAGTGGGTTGAAGCTATTTAGTTGCCTTTTTGGGAGCTCAATCTGTTCTAAGATGTAATTAAGCTACATATATATGTTTTGGTTTGTTTTATTTTTATTTTTTGTTCTCATTTCACTAAAATAGAAATTGCTTGCAGTTAATTTTTATAGTTGTTTTTCTTGCAATGATTTATATAGCATAAGTTGAAATCCTTTCATTTTTGCTGAAAATATTAGTATGCCAACCTATGAGGGTCAGTTCAAATGGTGAGTTGCCAAATTCCATTCAGTTCTTTATATATATATATATAAACACACAAAAAAAAAAAAAATAAAAATAAAAATTAGTGCTCTCCTATTTTGACTTCACCAGAGCTTTTGAGTGTTTGATAATTGATTTTTTTAAGTGATGTTATGATTTTTATGAAAATAGTGGGAATAATTTGACAAATTGTAATAATTTTTTTGGGACTATTTTAGCTCTTCTCCGTTTGGGTAGTGTTTAATTCATTATAAACATGATAAAAAAACGAAAAGAAAAAAAGAGAATTGTAAGATAAATAAATCATCATTTGTTATTATAAATTAATACTCATTTCATAGAGGTTAACCATTCCATTCTATTTCATTTTCATTTTATTGAACCAAACGGTGCTTAAATCCTTTCAGATATCTAATAGAATGGCTTCAATGGATGTGCCATTGCATTGATAGAACTAACCAATTTCTTGGAATTAAGCTTCACAAAAACTACATAAAAAGACCAAGAATAACTGTCACATTCCTCAATAAATAAATAACTAAATAATAAAAAAAGTAACATTGTATTAATAGAATTGGAGGTAAAGAAAAGGATGACCAATTCAACATAACAATTGTCATATCTATTTTAAGGTTAGATGCCAAAGTAGGAACTTATAAGCATATCCTTTGATATAACACCTATTTTAGAAAACCTCTTGGGTTCAATTTTAGGTTGGTTTGGGTGGCCTTTTTCTCTCCACGACCCTCCATCAAGACCATACCCACCAAATACAGGGTGACTGTTTTTGCATTTGTCACCATCTCTCTTCCTCCTCATCAGCCAAATAGATGAAGAGGATGAAACTCTAAAACCTAAAATCTTGATAATCAGAAAATTAACAAATCGACAATGCTACGTAGTTCAAATTTTGTGGCTCAAAAGTGGCTCAAATGGCCAAAACGACGTCGTTTTGAGTACAGAACTGTTGTTCTGTACTCAAAACGACGTCGTTTTGGCCATTTGAGCCACTTTTGAGCCACAAAATTTGAGCTACGTAGCATTGTCGTATAAATTAATACTCATTTCATAGAGGTTAACCATTCCATTCTATTTCATTTTCATTTTATTCAACCAAACGGTACTTATATCCTTTCAGATATCTAATAGAATGGATTCAATGGATGTGCCATTGCATTGATAGGACTAAGCAATTTATTGGAATTAAGCTTCACAAAAACTACATAAAAAAGACCAAGAATAACTGTCACATTCCTCAATAAATAAATAAATATATAATAAAAAAAAGTAACATTGTATTAATAGAATTAGAGGTAAAGAAAAGGATGACCAATTCAACATAACAATTGTCATATCTATTTTAAGGTTGGATGCCAAAGTAGGAACTTATAAGCATATCCTTTGATATAACACCTATTTTAGACAACCTCTTTGGGTTCAATTTTAGGTTGGTTTGGGTGGCCTTTTTCTCTCCACGGCCCTCCATCAAGGCCATACCCACCAAATACAGGGTGACTGTTTTTGCATTTGTCACCATCTCTCTTCCTCCTCATCAACCAAATAGATGAAGAGGAGGATGGAACTCTAAAACCTAAAATCTTGATAATCAGAAAATTAACAAATATCAGCTACTTAGATTAGTTCATGTGTAGAATTTTTGTCTTGATCATCTTTTCCATTTCTTCTAAAGCATTTCATTATTAGAATTGGAAACCCATTTGCAAAAGGAGAGTATTTTTGTCAATATTAGGCTAAGATGAATGATCTTTTCTCGGGTTCGTTCAAAAAGTACACGGACCTCAAGCAACAGACCTACCTTGATGATGTGGAGATCGGGAGACAAGCTGGGAACGAGGAAGGCAACCTCGATAGGTTTTTCGAGGATGTCGAGAATGTCAAGGAAGACATGAGAGACGTCGAAAAACTCTACAAGAAGTTGCAGGAATCCAATGAAGAGAGCAAAACTGTCCACAATGCCAAAACCATGAAGGAACTTCGAGCCAGAATGGACTCGGATGTTGGCCAAGTCTTAAAACGGGTCAAGGTCATCAAGAAGAAGCTTGAAGGTCTAGAACAGTCTAATGCAGGTCACCGCAAACTTCCCGGTTGCGGTCCGGGGTCGTCTGCGGATCGAACTCGGATTTCCGTAGTTAGCGGTTTGGGAAAGAAACTCAAGGACATGATGGATGATTTTCAAGGGTTGAGAGGCAAAATGGCGGATGAATACAAGGAAACAGTGGAGCGAAGGTACTTCACTGTCACGGGACAGAAGGCGGATGAAGACACCATTGAGAATCTGATAGCAAGCGGCGAGAGCGAAAGCTTCCTGCAAAAGGCCATTCAAGAACAAGGGAGAGGTCAGATTATGGACACCATATCAGAGATTCAAGAGAGAGAGATCGAGAAGAACTTACTCGAGTTGCATCAAGTGTTTCTCGACATGGCAGCTCTCGTGGAAGCACAGGGTCACCAGCTCAATGACATTGAGAGTCATGTGGCGCATGCAAGCTCGTTTGTAAGACGAGGGAATGTAGAGCTGCAAGAGGCAAGGGAATATCAAAAGAGCTCAAGGAAGTGTACCTGCATTGCCATTGTCCTAGGAATTGTTGTTGTTGTCGTCCTCCTTTTCCCAATCTTATCACCATTATTGATTCACCGATAAGAAGAAGATGGAATGCTTGCTCTGTGAGACTCAGAAAACAGGTATTCTAATATCTAGGGATACTATATATTTGTGTGTGTATATGTACAGAGAGAGTGACAACAATTAGATCATATGGTATTCACAAAGGATATTAGATAGTACTTCAGAAAGAATATGTTTCTGCATTTAAGGAAACATCTCAATTTGTGCTTCGCATTAAGGCAACTATGAACAAATTGATTTCCCATATGATACCCTGGGAACAAAATGAAAGCAATTGGCATATCAAACATTTAAGATTCCACAATTTGTGCTCCATAAATAAATGCGCACACACAAACACACTACTGAATTGTGTAAATGAAACCCAAAAATAAAAAATCAAAAATCAGCTCCAAATTTTTTTACAAGATAAGTCAATCAAACACTCCTAATAGACAAAGGTTGCATTTGGTTACTTTTCCTTTTTTTCCAAAGTGTTTTTAGCTACTCTGAAAGTGTGCAACTGACAACAAATGGAGTGTATAAAATTAAACGGCAAGTACACAGAAAAGTTCATTACCAAAAGCACAAAAAATTTTGTTCTTGAAAAGAAACGCTGTTATTTATTCAAATGATGAATGTTTGCAATCAAACACTAGGGTCTTGTAGACCAGAAGTTCTCATTTCAGAAAATGAAACTGCATTCAGGTAGTCCTCTTTATCTCTCGCATGTTTTTATCCAATCTAATTGTACATAAATGGCAACATTGTTGTGGATAAAATTAAGAAGATTAAATCCAGAATATCACAGTAAAAATATGTAAAAAAACCAGAATTCTCATCACACAAACTTTTTATTTTATTTTATTTTATAAACAACATTTCATTCAACAAAACAAACCACCTTAAAAGGCGTGAACCTTGTACTCTCATGATGACAAAACCAGTAAGCTATGCATCCAGTGGCATGTACGAATCAACTATAAACAAGACAAAAGATGAAATTGGAAAGGGACAATCCTATCTCAACCAAACAAAAAATTAAAAATAGGAGCACAGATCCTTTCAGTGCACTAATATTCTCAATACCATCAGAAGATCTATGATGCTCCTTTCATATTGTCCACAAAACACATAAAGCTGCAGTTTGCCATCAATAATCTTATCAATTGGTACTTCTATAGAAATCGGGTTTTCAGTTTTAAGGTTACAATCTATATTCCTCTATTGAGCTGAAAAATAACAGCATGCATGTAAAGAATAAAGATATGAGAATTTTTTAGTGTCGTGAGACTCATGACAGAGTGACACAATTGGAATTTATGGAGCACCATAATAATTGTGGTCTTCCTAAATTCAAAGCCACAGTGAGTTGCCACCATAAATAAACTGAGGTTGGCTATGAATGGCTAAATGTTGATTTTAAAGTTAAAGACACCATTCATGCAAAGCACTTTTACACCTTGAGGTAGAAAGCTGTAAGATACTAAGTTCCTAACATTTACTTGTATAATTGACAAGGTTGCATTTGGTGACAGTAAAATAGGAAAAGTAGGCAGAGGCATACGATTAACGAGCTCTCTTTAATGCCTCATAAAATGCATTAACAGCAAATAAGTTGGTCATAATCAGTAATAATTAGAAGTTACAAGTCATTCGTTCTATATTATTTACTAATCTAACGGTGCAACCATGAAAAAGTTGTACCTTCTATGATGCTTTATATGTTATCATGGAACACATTACTAGGACTTCTACAAAGACTACCAGAAGAACTTTCAACAAATAGAATGAAAGTTCGAGTTGGTTTAGTTGGTAAGGTTTGTTCCCTTCGCCCATTTGGCTTAGGTTCGAGTCCCGCTACCGGCAGTTCTTTGTTGATGAGCAATATTGTGTAATGCTTTCCCTCGCCCTGGAATGGGGTAGCCTCCCCTCCTCCTAAACTTTTTTTTGAATAAAAAAAAAACAAATAGAACGAAAGAAGATTATGATTTACAATGACAACACAGAGATGAGGGAAAGTTTCCCAGGCAACATTCATTGCACACAAGTAAAAGTCTCACAACATAAAAGAACAAAGATCAAAAGCTCAGCTGTGCCATTTTATTTTGTTTACTCATATCCAGTAAAGTTTCCCTCCTTAAAAAAGGTTGCTCCTCTACTGCAAACAAAGATGGCACGTCCTTCAAAGAAAATTGAGAAGTCAACCAACAGAGTTATACTCACTCTGAACAGGCCATTTTGAGAAATTCAGCTCATAATCAATTCGGTTCAAAAGGCCATGAAAATTGCAAAAGAATCCACACTTCTCGGAACCTCCTCTATAAACTCCACCAATGGCAACAAAACCCGGTTGAATGGGACTAATTTTAAGCTAAACACATTCTGGCTTCCTAAATATCCCTCTAGTATCACAAATTCCCAGCACATTTCACCAAAAGATGAGCAACAATTTCAGGTAAAAGAACAATCAAAGCATGGATGTTCAAAATTTTGAAAGAAAAGGCCTGCCCAATTCAATTAAAACCAATAGGCACTCTATTCATCAAACAGCATTGATTTCCATCATTCCAACTACCATGTTTGAAATCAGTCCGCCATATTTCAATTCAGTCCAACTTTTCATGCACCATAGAAGCAAATCTCATGTTGGGTTTAAGCTGCAGTGCAAAGTGTTGGAATTAGGAAATTGTGATATTATAATTATGGTAGTGTTAAATTAGAAAATAGTGAATATTGTAATTATGGTAGTGTGTATAAAATTTGTGATTGTGTCAATCACAGATTTAATGCCTTTTTTTATCTTCGTTTCCTATTTTGTAATATTGTTTCATTATAAATATAAGGCTCTACCTCATTCATAGGTAAGCCAAAACAATTCTTTTCATCATTTTTAGTATTAGAGCCTTATTGGGCTTGTAACTGGTGTGCCGTTTGTCTGGCTAGTGTATGTTGTGGTCTAGAAAGGTGTGTTGTAATGTGTCCCACATCACCTGGAGTTGCCCCATCTGTGCTAGTTGTAAGGTTTTAGTTTCTTTCTCCTTAATACCTAGGTTTTAAGGAGAAGTGTGGGCTGAGCTTTTCAATTTGGTATCAAAGCCAGGAGAGTCCAGATTGAGGATCAGTTGGGAAGAACAATCCCAAGCCAGGAGAGGTCTTCAAATATCTCAAGATGTGATGAACCACATCAAGATGTTTTGTACGAGGTGCATGCATGAATTGGCTAACAACACTAATCGCAAATGTCAAGTCAGGTCTAGTATTGGTCAGATAGATGAGATGCCCAACAAGACGCTGATACATGCCTGGATTCTCTAGTAATTCACTAGACTCTTATGTGAGCTTGACATTGGGATCCATAGGAATAGAAGCAGGTTTACACCCCAACATACCGGTATCCTTAAGTAAGTCAAAGGTGTACTTCCTTTGAGATAAGGAGATCCCTTGCCGTGAGCAAGCCACCTTAATCCCTAGAAAATACTTGAGATTTCCCAAATCCTTAATATCAAAGGTGTGTCCCAAATCTCGTTTTACTTGATCAATGCCTATAGAGTCATCACTGGTGAGAATGATATTATCCACACAAACCAACAAGACTATACACTGACCTGCGGAATTACGACTGATGAAGCACGTATGGTCTGAATGGCACTGAACAAAGCCCATGGAGATGATAACTGAGCTGAAACAACCAAACCAAGCTCGTGGAGACTGCTTCAAGCCATACAAAGACTTGCACAGTCGACATACTTTCCCCGAATACTTCCCCTAAACTTGAAAACTAGAAGGAGGGGCCATATAAATCGTCTCAAGAAGATCTCCATGTAGAAAGGCATTCTTGACATCAAGCTGATGAAGGGGCCAAGAATGGGATGCAGTAAGGGAGATGAGTAGATGAACAGATGTAAGCTTGGCAACAGGGCCAAAGGTTGCACCAAAATCCTTGCCAGGAATTTGAGTGAAGTCCTTGGCCACTAAGTGGGCCTTATAACGATTAATGGAACCATCAGGTAGGTACTTAATAGCAAAGACCCATTTGCAACCCATGGTACTCTCACTAGAAGGTAAAGGAACCAAATCCCAAGTATGATTCTGTTCTAAAGCTGTCATTTCAGTCTGCATGGTCGCCATCCATGTTGGATTCTGAAGAGACTCGGACATAGACCGAGGAATAGACTCAGACTCAAGCTTGCCAAGGAAAGAATGATATGAGTATGAAACCTTGGCATATGAGAGAAACTGGGAAATGGGATGATCAGTACTACACAGATGTAGCAGGGAAGGAGATGTATGTAAAGGGGAAGAATTACCTGACCCAAGAGCTGGAGAGGTAGCAGAAGGGGGCTGAGCACGAGGGTGGCGAGAGTATACCTATAAAGGGAGGGGAATGAGGCGAAGGTGGAGGATGAGAGAGGGGGGACAACCTCATCTAAAATTGGGACCGGGCGAATACTCGGAGTATCTGAAGGGGAAACCTGCAAAGGGGGGTTAGGACTAAAAAAAGAAAGATCCTCACAAAAAATAACATCTAGAGTGTGGTGAAAGTGACGAGACACAGGATCAAAACATCTATACCTTTTAGACATGGAGGAATACCCCAAAAAGATACAACGAATAGACTTGTCATCTAACTTAGTGTGAGTGAGACGACGGTCCTGAACAAAACATGTACACCAAAAAATATGAGGTAAAAGAGGAAAAATGATAGTATTAGGCATTCTACTTCTGACTATGCAGGATCTAGAACGGATAGGCATTCTACTTCTGGCTTCTGTACCTTCTATGGTGATCATCTTATATCATGAAAAAGTAAGAAGCAAGCAGTTGTTTCTAGGTCTTCTGCAGAAGCTGAGTATAGGGCTATGACAGAAGGCACTTGTGAGATTCTATGACTATGTTCTATTTTGGCAAAGTTGGGATTTGAGGAGACTGCTTCTGCATCTTTGTTTTGTGACAATAAGTCTGCTATTATGCTGTCTTCTGATTCTGTCCTACATAAGTGTACTAAGCATATAGAGGTTGATATATATTTCATTCAAGAGAAGGTTCGGCTTGGTATTGTGAGACCATCCTTTGTCTTTTCTTCTCAGCAGTTAGCAGATATGTTCACCAAGTCTGTAGGCCTAACATTACTCCAGTCGTCTATCGGCAAGCTACGTTTATTGAATATCTTCACACCAGCTTGAGGGGAGTGTTGGAATTAGGAAATAGTGACATTATAATTATGGTAGTGTTAAATTAGGAAATAGTGAATATTGTAATTATGGTAGTGTGTATAAAATCTGTGATTGTGTTAATCACAGATTTAATGCCTTTTTTATCTTCGTTTTCTATTTTGTTCATTTCCTATTTTGTAATATTGTTTCATTATAAATACAAGGCTCCACCTCATTCATAGGTAAGCCAAAACAATTCTCTTTGTCCTTTTCAAAGCTGATGGATTTCGGCATCAAGCTGTGCTGAATTTGTTAATCTACCATCAATCAACTAAATTGGATGAGCAACAATGCGCAAAACAACAGATAACTAACTCATGGTATAATTGCAGGCAAGGCAACACAATAAGAATGTTTCACTCGCTACGCCCTACATGTATGTTACGTCCCTTGGCTGTATGAATGCACACACATATAGACTCCTCATCTCAACTAAGAATAGTTCCACCAAGGCAAATGAGTACTGAGATTCTCATCTCACTCATTTCCCCTCCATTTATAAACTCAATTCCTTCTCTTCAAGTTTGTTTGTTTGTTTTCAATAGCATATAAATAATGGCACTAAGGTGGTGTAACCATTATACAAAAGGAAAACAAAAGAAAACCCTAGTATACAAAAGCTCTCTATTCAACAAACTCCACAAAGTTCAAAAAATGGTTCAAGGATGGATCAAATAAAATCTATATTTCCTTTTGAAAAGAGGTTCTTCAATCCTGTCAAAAGTCCTTTGGCTATGATCACTCCAAACAATCCACAAAAAACACAACAATGCCAAAGACCAAGCCTTTTCCTTCGCTTCCCTACTAAACGCCCCCCTCCAAGAATGAATGAGACCTATCACACTTTGGAAACACCCACATCATGCCAAATATATTGAGGATCAAAACCAAAATCTCTAGCCACCATACAGTGAATAAGAAGATGATTGAACTTTCCCAGCTTTGCTTACACACACAAGTCCTACAACACCAATTACAATGAATTTTCCCTCTCTTGGTATTCACTTGTTGGAAATAACTTCCCTCCAGCGCTTTTGAAAGGTAATAACCAATGTTTTAAATAGTGATATCCAAACATAAATTTGTATTGACAGCGGTGTTGCGGTATAGACATGAAGAAGATTATGGTTCCAGAAGAAGCAATTTAACAACATTTTAAATAGTAGTATTGGGATATAATCTGTATTGATTGCGTTGTTGCAGTATCAAAAGGGCAGAAATTTGGTAAGTATCAACTGAGGTTGCATCGGATCGGGCGATATTTAAAACTATGGTAATAATCGCATTAAACACATTGACAATAGTAGATTGATTAGTTGCTTTCTCATAAATAACCCCAGTGATATTCTCTAAAGAGTAATTGACATAAGATCCAGGAAACTATTGGGAAATGGTAAAAAAATTATTCAAGAGAAAGGACAGTATGGAGAAAAAGTAAGCTGGGAGCAACTTGGAGGATAGAATTCAACCAGTCAAAAACCATGTACTGCATAAGAATCATCAATGAGGGATCACAAGCAAGCAAGAAAAACAATTCAGGTTATAGGCATATCAAATTCCACCAAAAATTATCACATACAAAATCAATGAAATGTCTACATTAGGTTATCTACTAAGATGAAAACTGATGTAGGACAAGAGCTCTCCAATCTTTGGGATACAGCACAACATCAAGAAATTGAAATCAATATACTTTATCAAACCTCTAAACACTACATGATATAGAGAGTAATTTTACTTGTAAGATAGATCAGAGCCAATTGAAATGAAACAAATTCCTGACCATTTATTTACAAACTTACCCCAATCTCTCTCCCTCTTCTTTTTTATTTTTTATTTTTATTTTTATTTTTTAATTATAATTAAGCTCACGCAACCAGTTAAGCCCCAGCAGTGGGCAACGCTGCCATGAAAGAGTTGTAAGATGACTCCAAATCAAAGTGAAGCTGCCGAGCCTGCTGCTCCGTCAACTCATCTGATGCTCCCATCTTCGACAGCCACCCAATCCACTCCATCTTCATCTTCCCTTCGAAATCAGAAGGCTAAATGGTATGCTTGTTGAGTGAAGCTGAAAGATCCGAAAGCAAAGGGTGGACCTGATCAACAACAACCATGTTCAGTTTCAAAGATTCCACTGTTGTAATAAAGTTTTGCACGCATTCAGCCACAATAGCTGCCAAAGTAGTCGTTGACATTGCCGCAGCTGCCCTGTGCTCAACCGTTGCAGGCATGCCTGAAGTTACAAGGCGGTTCAAGGCTGCCATGCAGTCCATTTTGTATGTGTCATGAAGCCGCTCAATGTTTGGAACAGTGTCTTTGAGAGTGAAAGTTAATGTTTTGAAATGGGCAATCAGTTTTTGGCACTCTGGCTCATACACTGCTGCCAAAATGATGTCGCGAACATATGCCTTCTCAAGCTTCTCGGTGGCTTTGATTATGGCATAAAGCTCGGAAAAGTTCTCATACACCTCTCGCTCTCGCTTGTCATTCCACAGCTTAACTTCCATTAGATAGTAAAAGTTAAGGTTTTTCTTTTTAATCAATTAGGGCCTCAAATTTGGAAATGGAGAATAAAATAGGACACGCGCAAACAGGTTCGGCTTTTTTTGCTGGACAACAATCACATTATAAACCCATCAGGGTAAACAAAACTAAGGCCAAGTTTGGGAAGACTAAATAAGTGTACTTTTTGTCTTTTTGGACTAAAAAATTAAAGTTGAAAATATGGATGTTTGGGTTAATTTTTTGACTTTTTATTGAAAAATGTGTAATAAAAAATTGTAAAAATTGATTTGTAGGTGGGAGTTGTGCAGCCGTAATTGTTGACTTTTGGTGAATAGTGTTAACTTTTTAACTTTTTGAGTAACTTTTTGACTTTTTGACTTTTTGGGAACATCTCAAACTTGGCCTAAATAACAAAGAATAAGATTCTATAAGCTACATAGATATGTATATGCATACTAGTGTTCATATCTCTGTGCTTGTATGTGTTGAAGGATCAAACTTGCACAAAACACAAGTATATATGTTCAATTGGCCAAATATTACAGAACAAGACTATGATTCTATAAAACTACATGAATATGTATATATGAACACATAAATATGTATATTTGTATGCATATCAAATTTGAAAAAAAATTCCAAATATGTAAGTAGAATTGACCAGATATTCTTCAAAACTACAGTACTATAAGCAGCTTCACATGTATGAAATTGAAAGGAACAAACTGATCAGAGCAATGGATTGAGGGAATACAAAAACACTTGTGTTTGAATCATGAATTTGGGTATTCATCAAAGCTTTTCCCAACCCATTTCAAATTTCTACCCAAATGCATGATCCAAACACACAGCCTAAATCAAAAACTCAAACTTGCGGAAGAAAAACACCATATATACAACCCACAATTTCCGAATCAAGAAAACCCATGAATGTACCTCAAAAAACAAGTAAACCGTAACAGATTTTTAAAAATCAACTCAATGATACGTGTACACAAAAGTAAATATAAATCCAATTAGAGAGAGAGAGAGAGAGAGAGGACTCAAGAAGGGTGGGAAACGCGGCTTTGAAAGAATAATGTTTGAGAGCCACAATTTGTGTGGCTCAAATGGCTCAAAACTGCCAAAATGACGTCGTTTTGACATGTTTTGTGCTCAAAACGACGTCGTTTTGGCAGTTTTGAGCCATTTGAGCCACAAAAATTGTGGCCCTCTACCATTGCCTGCTTTGAAAAATTAATAAATTAATTAATAGTTTTTAAT